TCATGTTCATGAATCGGACTGAGGCATCTTCTACACCAGTGTTTAACCTACTGTAATAACAACAGGTTAACTTTGAATTATGGGGAAACAAAGATCTTAGTATTTCCCTTATCTGGGAAACAGTCCTCATGTACAATTAAGGGAAATCCCATTGAGCAGGTCAAATCATTCAAATACTTAGGGGTCAATTTCTACTACAATGGGAGCTGGGCTACTCATTGCAAATGTGCTACTACTCTAGCAAGAAACAGTGCTGAGGCCATTGCCCACTTTTTCTACATGAGAGGCAATAGATATGTCCCAATGGCCTTAAAAGTCTTCAACGCAAAAGTCTTCAACACAATTCCTATATGGCGCTCCCATTTGGATAAGTGCAATTAACCAATCAGCAGAGGGTTTACAATCCTTTTTTTTACGGAAAATCCTTGTACTTCCTAATTGTGTCCCATATGCTGCGATGTGTCTTGAAACTGGTCAGATGTGCCTGGAAACTCGGGCCTGGCTTTTGACCATCAAATTTTGGTTGCACCTTCTGTTTAATCCCGACCCAAATTCTTTCACCTTTTTAATGCTGACAGATCATTGTGAACCTAATTGGCTGAAATTAGTCCAAAAAATATTAGGTCCTTAGGAATACCTTTAGATCTACTTTGTTTAACATCTGCCTCCACAATATTTCATACAATCAAAGGCTGGCTTTTAGATATTCTACTTCAGTGCTTGACTGAGGCAGCTAGGAAATCTTGTTCTCCAATTCATCTGGGATTACCTCAGACACTGCGCCAGACAGCTACTTATTTTTGCTCTTTAACTGACCCCCATCAAAGAAGGGCATTTATGTTAGCCAGATTTAACATATTGCCATCGGCTATCTTCTCTGGAAGATGCCATAAAATCTTTTATGAACTTAGACAATGCCCTTGTAGTCAGGGTGCCATCGAATCTGTTTCCCATGTTCTTTTAAATTGCCCATTTTATACTAAGACCTGGAATAAATTTCTTTTTACATGGTGTGGTTTCCCTGAGAGTGTCAAAGTCCAGTTGCTACTCTTGGGGTAAAATTCTTCTATAACTTTTAATGTTGCCTGTTTTCTTCAATCTGCAATTCAAATCAGGGAAACTATAAACTGATCAGGTTTTTTTTCTTGCTGTTTGTTTGTCTAACAGCCACATTTTTAATGTATTTCTAAATTTTAATGTACTTTTATCTCTGATATGCCAATAAAGGTTGTCTGTCTGTTTGTCACTTGCATCTGCTGGATGACTTTGGGCAAGCCATAGTTCTGTCAGAGCTGTTCTCTCAAGGACAGTTCTAGAAAGTGCTCTCACAGCCCCACCTACCTCACAGGATGTCTGTTGTGGGGAGGGGAAAGGAAAGGAGTTTGTAAACTGCTTTGAGACTCCGAGTGAAGGGCGGAGTATAAATCCAATCTCCTCCTCTTCCTCCTCCTCCTCCTCCTAATCAGATTTAAGATGGAGGGAGAAGAGTGTAACTCTACTTAGCCTTTCACTGTTAGTGACTGCATTGAAATTTATTGAACTAAAAATTTGGCTGAAGAATGCCATTATACGAAGACGGCAGGATGCTGGGAAGGGAAGGATAAATCACCTCCTTTGTTGGTCACCATTTTGAATATCGGGTTTATAATTTTGGATATATATAATAAATCACTATCAAATGATTCTTTAATTGACTCACAATGAAGTTTTTATTTAAAGGTGGCCCAGCATTGTTGCTTACCTGTAGACTGAGTGTAAACTAGAAATAAGGGTTTCCTGAACTTCTGTCTTATTTCTAGCAGCCATTTGTTGTGTGACCTTGACAGCATCTTTTGTATTTGGTAAAAATAGCTCAAAGTAATGTCCTTACTCCACAAGAGTTTGCAGTGTGCTAATATCATTATATTCAATGAACATTCATTCATTTTCACTTGTTTCAGAGTGGAAACATGTTGCTTCTTATTGGGTAGTCTCCAGTTTTTTTAAAAAAATATATAATATACTTTATTAGAAGTTGTCTTTGCAAACAGGCACTCAATTTATATATTTGCTTTTATTCTTTGGTCTGAAATGTTTAGAAACTTGGAAATTTAATGTAGAATTTTGTAAAGACAACTTTAGTTTACCTGGACCTGGATGGCCTAGGCTAGCACAATCTCTTCTAATCTCAGAAGCTAAGCAGGGTCTGTCTTGAGTACTTGAATGGGGAACTACCAAGGAAGTTCAGGGTTGCTACACAGAGACAGGCAGTGGCAAACAACCTCTTTTAATCTCTTCCCTTGAAAACCTATAGGATCACCATAAGTCAGCTATGACTTGACATTACTTTCCCCCAATTTCATTGTGTGTGACCATTAATAAATGTCGGGCGGAGTATATGGGCGCGATCACGAGGACACATCTTGCAAGCGTAGCACAACCATTGCCAACCCATAGCATCCACCCAAACATCCGGATATAAAAAATTCCCGTGAAAGCCTACTAGCAAACGGTTTGCTACAGGCCGTTGACAGAATACCTACGTGTGATCGCTCAAGCACGCTCTTGACGCATGCCAAAAACACCTGCCGACAAACAAAACCCCACTTTGCTGCGGCGTCGGCGTCTGATTGCGTTCTGGCACGTTAAATTGCGCTGGCGCGAAAAGTCACATCTCCCTCCTGTGTTATCTGGTCCGTGTGACTGGTGCCCTTACATATCTAGAAGGAAACAACAACAAGGACCCAGCAACCCTAGAGAGTAGAACAATACAAAAAAGTTGCCGAACAAGTTCAATATACTTATGCAAAATATTAGTAATTTAATACATATTCTTTTTGTTTCAGTAGCTGCACATCCAGAGACCGAAGTCCCAACAAGACTAACTTGCTCGAGATTTTAGCTGTTCGTTTCGACCAAAGTCTTTGTCACATCTCAGTTTGTAGTCATTCTTTCTGTTCACAAAGTCAATTCACAAGTGGCTGAACACAGCTCCCAACACAGCTCCCAACTCCCAACTGATATTAGAAAAGACTTTGGTCGAAACGAACAGCTAAAATCTCGAGCAAGTTAGTCTTGTTGGGACTTCGGTCTCTGGATGTGCAGCTACTGAAACAAAAAGAATATGTATTAAATTACTAATATTTTGCATAAGTATATTGAACTTGTTCGGCAACTTTTTTGTATTGTTCTGCCCTTACATATCCTTCAGTAGGATATGAGAGATAACCATCTGCCTGCCATTCCTCAGTGCCTTCATGAACAAAACAGTTTTGCCGACTTTATGGAACACTGTTGCAAATGATGATGTTCCCTTGACTTCCTTAGTTAGGCCATTTTGAAGAATGTAAGGTATAACTATAAAGGAAGATGATTGTACTGAAAAAGAGCAGACTCGAGATTTAAATGTCAGTAGCAGTTTATGTGCAAATCTAAGTTGACAGGAGAGTTTATACAGGGGGAAGAGGTATTTCAAGAAGGTGAGTCTACAACAATGTTGGCCTTTACAGGACTTTGAACTGAGCCCTGAAATGCACTGGAAACGAATGTAGTTGTTTCAAAACAGGCATCATGTGCACAAAACAGCCTACTCTTGTAAAAATACCACATGAAACCTGACGATTGCTGTTAAATAAGTACTAAGTTTGCTCTGTATGAACTCTCTGCAGTCAAGGCAGGCTCTGTTTATATGATTGATTACAACAGGAATACAGGTAACTGACTTGGGCTGAGGTCACTATACCCAAAGCAATAGTCCCATTTACATTACTTTTTGAGCCCATTGTAATGTGGAGAAAAGTAAGCCAGAGTTCACCAAAACTCATAACTATGGCAAGATTAACTGCTCTGAAATAGAAGTGAAACTATTCTATTTCACATTGTACAAATGTCTTATTTAACTAGCACAGCCTTACAGATTGGGATTTCTGAGTAAACCAAAAATGAGAAAGGTCAGAGAAGTCTTGGTAATCAAATTGTTGTGCAGATGTTTCATTTCAGGAGATTGTAGACAGGGATGAATGAATGGAGTCTTGTTGGAGCAAAATACAGTCTTTTTTCACTTATCTTCCACCTTTACACATTCCAAAATGCTAATACATTATATAGAAATTGTGAGTACAAGCGGGAAGGAAAGGAAAGTGAAGGAACACTGAGAGCTGTCCTTGTGAGAATGTGTTGCTATGATACTAGTTCTAAGAATTTATTTGTCCTCTTTCCTACTCATTCTTGCTGAGCCCAGGGGAGCTGGAGCAAATCACCACTACTGAGGGTCTGAATAGGGTACGCATTAAAAGAATTCATTCTCTCTGTTGTGCAGAGAGATGAGGTGGGGCCTCATGAATGCTCAAATGTCAATTTCATTTATTTATAAATTGGTCTGCTTCTTACCAAATAAAGATATGTATATAAGAGAGATCAGATCAATTGTTACTTAACATAATTCTTCATTCTTCAACAAATGACGCCTCAGTCTTTTGTCATTTTAGTTAGCTGCAATTCAAAAAGCACCTTAAGCTGCCAGTATTTAAGAGGATTGTTTTGGTTACAGGTTCTTAGCTGCAGTTCATCTCCTGCTGATGCTGCACTAAACATGCCAAGAACCCCCTTTTTTGTAGATATAAAAGAATCTGGATGTTTCCAGACAGCTATTCCAAAAATTGTACAGTATGTAACCCTGTCTCCCCCCACCTTGTGTTTCTGTGGCACTTTGTCAACATTTGTTCTTGTGCAGTTGGCTAGGCTGAAAAATAGAAATGCATTTTTTCATGTGTGTGGAAGGCCTATTCCTTTGTATGATAGGCAATTTCAAAAGAAGTAACTAGAGAGCTCTATTTTCATCTCATTAAGCATTGCTTTTTAAATTATCTTGCTGTTCATTAATTAGAGCATCGATTGTCTCTTCAAATCAATATACTCATTTCCTGTAATTTAGTTGGATATACTAATGAACAGGCTAATTATTTTCTTGCCCCTTACTATTCACTAATCTCCTACTTCCATTTTTTTAATTCTTCTTCTAGCATTGCAGTGATAATACAAACCTCTGTCAGTCAGATATGAATATTGCAGGTGCCTGGAAGAGAGGCTACACTGGAAAGAGGATTGTGATCACCATCTTGGATGATGGCATTGAGAGAAACCACCCAGATCTGATGCAGAATTATGTGAGTGTTCTTTAAACTGCTCCTTGTCTTCTATGTGTATTAAAGTTACTATGTGATGGTAACATTGTAGATGTACTGGTGTTTTTCAAAAATATGAGTGGGGGGGGGGGAAGCTGAACCAGAAAGGAGAACTAAAGCATCAAAAATGGAATGGTATTAATCTCATTTACATCAATTTAAAATACTTGCTATATGTGCAAGTAATAATTTTCAGTGAACTCATAGCAACATTTTCATAGCCTTGTTAGCCTAATTAAAAACTAAATAAGGTAAGGTAAACAAACCAATTTCTCCAAAGTTTTCTCCTGATAAAGAGAGAAATGTCCCTATACATTTATGGGGAAAAATGCTAGTCACTATTTTCTAGGGCAAATGTTTTTGTCAGGTAGCTTATCACAAGACCTTTTCCAGTTTTAGTGCTCCTGATTCATCTTTGGGTCAGAATCCAACCAATGGAACACTATGTCTGGAGCAGTGATGCTCTGTATTCTTGGTGCTTGGGCGGCAACAGTGGGAGTGCTTCTGGAGTTCTGGCCCTGCTGGTGGACCTCCTGGTGGCACCTGGGTTTTGGCCACTGTGTGACACAAAGTATTGGATTGGATGGGCCATTGACCTGAGCCAACATGGCTTCTCTTATGTTCTTAATGTGTCTAATCTTAGAAGTTAACCAATTTAATGATATGAAACCTCACAAGATATTCTGAAAACTAGTGCTTGAGAGTGGATTCAGTTAATCTCAAGTGATATAGCATGACACTAAGAAACATAATTATGAAAAGAATGTGCCTCAATATATGCCTAGGGCTTGAGCACACCATTCCTCCCGTCCTCCCTTCATGCCTGTCTGGAAAATTGAAGACTTCCTGGTTCTGGATACACTGGTGCAGGGTATGTGGAGACAAGCATTTAAGTCTGAGGATTTCAGAGACTTGTTTCATCAAGATCAAAGCTTGGTTTGTTTATGAACTGTCCAGTTTTACAAAAAATATATATTAATGGCAGAATCAGTTCATCCCATGTTAACTATTACACATGTTGGGTGTCTTAATTTAGTTTTAGGCTACAGGTAGAAGTAACCCTATTTGTAAGGAAGCCTTTTAACATTCCTGGGAGTTACTTTCATGTAAATAGGATCAGTATCTCAGGTATATAGATATGACCTAATTTTTATTTCATTTATATTTAATATTTAGGAAATAATCTCATGGCATCTAGAAGGAAGTTGAGAAGTCTCAGATGTATGGCATGAATTAAGATTGCTAATTAATTTGTTTTCTACTGTGAACCAAACCCCATGCAATGTATTTGCTGGAAATGACATTGCAGCACCATTTCCTCTGCCCCCCCCACTGGCTCCTATTGCTTACTGGGGGCTGTGCAGGTCTGGGAGGCGATGATGGGCAAAAGCGATGACTGTTGCTTTCTCCTGCACTTCTGGACCCAACCAGTGCTTTGTTTGACTGGGCAGAGATGTGAACCCAAGCATAATGGGCTTGTGTGCCACTGTCAGCATGGTATGCAGGAGGTTGCTTATCCCTCTTATAAACCATAGAAGACCAGGAAAAACCTCACACATCTTGACATCAGTAGTTATTTCTTGAAGTGTTACTTTTACACCCTAGATATACCCAATTCATAAATTTAGATCCATTTGGGGGGCTAATGTTATTGCCTACATTATTCATTTTAGCCATGGTTGTGCTATAGATTAATAAAAATAAAGAAAGAAGGAAATCTTGTTCACTACTCTGGCACTCAGATGTAAAGGTTTTATTTGTAACTTCCCAAGTAAAATGTTTAAAAAGAGTTTCCAGGAAGGTTTGCTGTTTATCTAAAATTACTTAGTTTAAAATGTATCACTTGGGGTCATACTCTGACAATCATTATTATGTGGAACACTTTGCATAAGATCTTTGACAGGGTATAATCATTTTTGTTACTTTGCATGGGCATGATGATTATTTCTTCATAAACTTTGCCAAAACCCATTTAGCACTCTTAGTTTTTCAGAGCTTGCTAGTCGTAGTCCTATGCATCCCCTCTAAGGAAACTGTTGAATAAATTTCACTGATGTTTTAATACAAATGGTTACATATGTCAATGAGCAATTACAGTATATTGATACAGAATGAGTTTTGAGTAAATATGAAATTTAAAAGAATTATTTGCTATTTCATTCTACCATATCAGTTCACCGGAGGAACAAAGATAAATAGCTTTTTGTGTTGTTTTCTACGGTGAAATGTGACCAGACAAAACTACATTCTATACCTGTTAAAACTTACAAGTTCTTCCTGAAGATAAGAAGAGCATGTCATTTAGGAGTTACTGTTAATAAAGATATAATTTTTCAAATTGATTTATCTTTCTTAATTTTGTTCAAATTTGTAATCAGCACATACAAGTATTTCCTTAAGGCAAGTAATGTTCTCTTAGAATAATTTAAATAACTGTGCCTTTTAACAAGATTAATAAAAGAGTGCTTTTGCTTGATTGATATGGCAAGTAGGATTCAAGTAAAAAAGCAGTTTGAAATACAGTAATTAAAAATTGCAATAGTTTTTGACAGTGAGAAGAGGGTCCCTCAATCCATTTTAAACATTTCTAAATAGAATTGTATATATAAATGTTGTAATTTTTTTGAACATGCAGTTCCTTCCTAAATCAGGCAGCAGGCACAGAACCACAGGAATGTTAGTTAACCTAATTGCACTCCTGTAGAAACCTGCTGAGGAATGCATGTGTTAAATAAGTCAGTGGCTAATTAATGAGGATCTGCCGTTCATTTTCATTCTATTTCTTGTCACCTTACGCTTCTGTTTTGGCTACAGGACCCAGAGGCCAGTTTTGATGTCAATGGTAACGATATTGACCCCATGCCTCGGTATGATGCCAACAATGAAAACAAGTAAGACCAGAGCTCTGTGGAATGTCTGACATTCTAAATGTAAATGCCCTTATCAGTAAAATGAACTTAGGCCCTGGTCACATGGAGAATTTGCCCCGCGAAAGGCATGAATGGTAGGCGGATTTTCGGGGCGCAATCACACCGCAACATCTGGCAAGCGTAGCGCACCCATGGCCAACCCGTGGTGTGCCGCCGAAGATACGCAGTTAAAAAGTACCTGCAAAGATCTACTAGCAAATGGTTTGCCACGGGCTGCAGATGGATTCATTTGGTGTGATTGCGCCGGCGTGCACCTATTCCCTCCGGCCGTCCTCTTTGCAGCATGCGCTGAAGGACGAAACCCCAGTGTGCCACCGTCACGTCTGATCGCATAATGGTGGATCAGAATGCGACGGCGCAAATAGCCTCGCCTCCCCCCCACATTTTCCAGCACGTGTGGCCGGGGCCTCATTTTGACAAACATATACACTAATAGCACAGGTGTAACAACTCAGTACAAAATTCTATTTTTGTTAGAAACTTCTAATTAGTAATACAATGCAAGTGTCTTGTATATATCTTATATTTTCTTTTGATTATACCAGTGGCAGAAGGCAGCATTGAGTGAAGGCCTCAGCCTCTGAACTCTGGCAACTGGTTAGCCACTGTGTAAAAGAGAAAGTGGACAAGATGGACCACTAGTATGCTCCAGCAGGCTCTACTTAATTTTTTAATATGCCTAAAACATTCAAATTCATATTCATTATTCATTTTCTACATCTTATTTACACATATTTTGTGTTTCTGTGTGAAAGGCGTTCTTGAACAGCTTGAGTTAAATTTGGAACTGTTACTTGTTTTCAGAATGATTTTCGTGATTATATTTGCTGATGATCTTTGAAATTTGCTTGCAATTCTGATGTTTGTTGCTGAAATGAAATTGCACTTGGGCAATTTCAACATGGTGGCCACAGGAGAAAATTGCCTGATGCTATTCTTAACTTAGGAAACTTAGGTAAATCTGTGTAAACTTAAAATAGGCTGTCGATTAGCTGTGTGACTAACATAAACAACACTATTTAAAAGTGTTCAAGGGCTAAACATCACTTCTTATGTAGAGTTAAAAAGTTAGGGGGTTTGTTATTTAATATAGCTTCCCATATACTTTGTGGCTGATGATTAGATATTTCTTTTTTAACTATAGATTTCTGCTGCAGCTTTAATATAAGATTTAGAAGTTATCGTTAACTTCTGGCTAGGGATGAGGTGGCCAAATACAGGCCAGTCTCCAGTTTACCTTTTCTAGGGAAGGTGATAGAGTATGTGGTGTCAGGACAGCTCCAGGTCTTCCTGGATGATACATCTGCCCCTGACCCATTTCACTCTGGCTTCAGGTCTGGTTTGGTAACAAAATGGCTTTAGTTGCACTGGTGGGTAATTTTTTGTTTAAAGTTGGACTGGGACATTCTTTATTTTATTTATTTATTTATGATTAGATTTATAGCTTGCTATCCCCACAAGCGGGCTCTGGGTAGCTCACAGATAGGGCATATATGCCAATAGTTAAAACAATTAAAAACAAAATAAAACAATCAATCAATTACAACAATACAAAGTGCTCAAGATGTTTCAGAAAAACATCTTCCCTGTTGATAATGTTGGACCTCTCAGCAGCCTTTGACACAGTTGACTACTCCATTCTCATCCACTGGCTTGAATACAGAGTTAGCATTAAAGGTGTAGCCCTTTGGTAGTTTCACTCTTTTCTGTCAGACAGCATACAAGGAGTCTCCACTGGAGGTTAGGGGTGTGCAAAAAAAAAAAAGACACAACCAAATTTGGCTGATTTGGATTCTGCCAAATCAGGCAGAATCAGTTTCAGCCGGCAGTAAGACTCCCACAAGTCAATTTCGTCAGTAGGAGCCCATTCAGGAGTCTTTCAGCCAGCCGATTGTAAATTTCAGCCCCATTATATCCTATGGGCCATTGAAGTCAATGGTGAAAACATAGGGTATATTCTGGGGGCTAGAGGGGGGGGGGTTGAGGGAGAAGCTCCAAACTCACAGGGTAGCTGCTGGCGCCTCCCCCCAAGATACCTACCACGTTTCAAAAACATTGGACCAGGGGGTCCAATTCTATGGGCCCCCAAACAGGTTGCCCCCATCCCTCCATTGTTCTCTATGTTGGGAAAAAACTTACTTTCCCCCCACGGTGCTGTTAGTGGCTATGAGGGAGAGGGGGTTTGAGGGAGAGGCTCCAAATTTTCAGGGTAGCTTCGGGAGCCTCTTCCCACATAAACCCCCGTGTCCCAAAGCAATTGGATCAGTGGGTTCAATTCTATGGGCACCCAAACAGGTTACCCCATTACCTCCATTGTTTCCAGTGGGGAAACCCAGCCAGCAGCACTTAAGGCAGGCAAGCAGGCAGCACCCAACAGTCAGACTCTCCCAGAGAATCTCAGGAAAAGTGAACTGTCTTGGGAGGTGCTTGTTTGCCATGAGAACAAGTGGCACACTTCAGAACAAGTGGCACACTGGCAGTGCAAGCCCAGAGGCACGGCTGTAAGGCGCAGCTTTCTTTTTGGTAATCTGGAGATATATGCTTATGCGCATAAGCACTCATGCACATATATGCTCATGTGCATAAGCACATAAGAAAAACGTGGCTTTTAGCGTTCAGACTTTGTTGGTGTGGGATGGACATGAGATAATCGCGCTTTCCAGGGTTTGCTACCACTTTCACCAGGTATCTTTTAAACTCGGCAATGAAGCGTTACAAGACGGGTTGAGTATGAGTGGGGAACGCCTGACAGATATGCCTGTGTGAACAGTCCCTTTAATCCAGTTGTGGAACATTTCTGAAACGTGCCTATATCAGGGCAAACTGCCAGTCTGAACTCAGCCCAGGTCTGTGTAAACCACCAACCATATCCTGTCAAATGATTGGCAGCTCTGTTTTTGAACTCACAGTATGGCAGCAAAATCAAGAAACATAGAGTGTCCCTAGTGATCTACTGTGCATATCTGGTGGACTGCATTTGGCCAGGTAGGTCATAAGCCCCAGTGCAGAGGTAGAATGAATACTTGGTTACACTCTTACCATCACCATTCATTATGCTGAGATCATACTCTCATAGCCATAGCATCACATTTATACTCACACATAAATGTATTTCCTCCACGCATTTCCTTCCCTGCATCCAAGGTCAATTTGCTCATAACTAGATCTACCTCAGAGCAGAAAGGTGAGCAAAGACTGCCTAAAAGCTCTGGTGTCCAGCAACAGATACCCCATCACTTTTGTAAGGAAGGTTCCCTTAGTAGGTAGATCTCATGTTCTTTCTCAACTAGCAAGAGAAACCAATCTGTGTCTGTGGTGAGCACAGTAAGGTGAGCCACTGGGGCAAGATCACAGAGGGCACTCTCTGAAGGATTGAGCTTTGCATTTTTCCTGTCACAACTCTAACATGTGGAGTTCAGCTTTGGAGTTCACCTGGATCATTTTTTACTAAAGAATATATGTGAGCATTATCAACACATGTCACTTTCAGTTTGACTAAGAAATATCAATAATCCTAATCGTAATTACTAGAAATATCCTAGGGTGATGGGGATTCTAAAACTTGGTTGCTAGTCTCTGAAAATCTGAAATGCTTTTTTGCCCTTCCATATACAACTGTATTAAGCCAGGCAGTGTATTTTAGCTGCCCTAAAAACCAGATAACTTCATTAGGTGTAGATTATAATTCAAAGGTTAGTGATGAATACTGCAATTTTAGAGGCACATCCTTCTAAACCCATTGATTTCAGTGAACATAGAAGGGTGTAACTGCTGAGGATTGCACTGTTAAGTATGACCCACAAAGCCAGGTTATAGATATGTGACTAAATGCATCCTGAATGTCCCTGTATTTGTAAACAAAGTCAAGGTACTAAATACCAGATATCTGTAAAAGGTTCCTACTATGTTATGCTTGAATGATTAGATAAAACTAAGCTCAGAGTTCAAAATCTGCAGCAGCATCATAACATCTCTGAAATGTTAGTATAATGTCATAGTTAACAATTTTGTGGTGGTGTAGATGATGGCATATTCTTTTCTGAGCATTTGTTTACTAGTGAAGGGCTTCTTCATCAAACCAAATCATATAAATGAAGACAAAATGTGTGTGTGTGTATAAAAACATGTTCTTCTCCTGGTCAGTTTATTATCATTACCAGAAAGTTATGCTGTAGACACCTTCTTTAATATTAACATTCAGTGCAATATTTTCAAAGTTTGATGGGGGGTATTATTGCATTAAAAATGACATAGCCGTAGTAATTCATGCACCTTAAACTGAATATCATCTCCTGCCCCTTCAGTTTCTCCCCTTTACATATTAAATCTAGTGCCCATTTTGAGCATTTAGACCTTCACAAGTGGAGACTCACAAGAAACTTGCGGAATGGTTATCCTATTCCTCACACCTTTGCTTCCTCCTGTCTCCCTCTACCTCTCTCACTCTCCCTTCTGCCCCCCCTTTCTTTCTTTCTCTTCTCCTCCATGTATGGTTTAGAGGGTGAAGGAGCCGGTTGTGGTGAGCGCTTCTGCTTGGCAGGGCAGCTGGAGGCAAAATGCCCGGCTTCTCCACAATACAGACACAGCTGTTGAGTGCGCCGTCTCAGCTTCTCCTCAGAAGTAAGGCGGGGCCGAGCGGTGCCAAGTTGCATGGGCTCTGTGCCTGCAGGAGGTGGAGAGGAGCCGGGGGAGGAAGGCCGGTGGAAGGTCTGAAGGGTTCTGCTGGGGAAGGCGAGAGCCTTTTTTCTGTTTTGGCGGCGGCTCTGTAACCTCCCATCAATGCGGAGACAGAGATGGATGAGGGCTTGTAAAGTGTCAGGGCGTTCACTGCGTGCAAGTTCATCTAGAATTTCGTCAGACAGCCCTTCAGTATACTGGTCAATAAACGCTGCCTCATTCCATGTCAGGTCTTGAGCCAGCAGCTGGAACTCATTGGTGTACTGAGCGACAGAGGTTTTATG